CCCCCCCCCCCCCCCCCCAAAAAAAAAAAATGAAAACCAGCTGTGGGGAGCTGAACCTTCAAGAGGTGCTGGCACACGTCATTTGGAACAGGCTCTTCTGTTAAGGAGAGGTTCATGTTACAATGCTGGTTAGTTAATTTAGGCTCAGATGCATAACAGTGTGACAAGGTGCCAGAGACAGTGACAACTTCTGGTTGCCGCTGTGCTACCAGTGTGATTGTGTGGCTGTAGCAGCAGCCTTTTTTTTCTTCCCTCTCACTAAATCAGCACCCTGGTTGCCCCGTTATGTCACATCTTAGGATGGTGAATGAAGCTGACCTCCTTGGACTATTTGGTTGTGAGTGAATACTGAACAACACATGGAACCAAGAATAAAATAAAGAAAATACTGAATTGAAGAACGGATTAATTAAAAACCTCACCACCATTGAAACTGGAAGGGTTGAGGATAACTGAGGAAGGGTTAAGCCAGGGGTTGGCAATGTTTTTGGGCAGAATGCCAAAAGCATTTGCAACTTTGACTTGTAAGATGTTGGCATGCCAGGGGCAAATGGTAGGGGAGCCATGAAAGGCCGGATCCTTCTTGTGGCAGCACAGCCCCACCTCCTTTCCTGCCCCAAGGTGCGCTTGCCATGCTCTGGCACCTGTGCCAGGGGTTGCCTACCCCTGAGTTAAGCAGTACTTCACCTTGTATATGCTAACAATGGGTGCCATAAAAAATAAGAGACTCAGGAGGAAGCCTTATTTCTGACTAGACCTTCTGAAGGACTTAGCTACACTGTTAAAAACACCAGCTCCGAGATGGCTAAGTCTGAAATTACTGGAGATATTTGAACACTGTACCTCATGTAAAAATTAAACATCTGATATTTTTATAATCTTGGCACTGTTACAAATTTCATAGATTTCATAGACTTTTGGGTTGGAAGGATCCTTGAAGATCATGAAGTCCAGCACCCCTGCCCCAGGGCCAAGAAGTCAGCTGAGGACAAAGGATCCCAGCAAGATAAGCATCCAAACATTTCTTGAATGAGTCCAGAGTAGGTGCCTGCACCACTTCTGGAGGGAGTCTATTCCAGGCCTTGGGGGCTTGGACAGTAAAGAAATTTTTCCTTATTTCCAGCC